TAACTTTAACAACACCAACAAATGGTTGCAGTCAGGGAGTGACATCAATGTCATAAAATTGCCAAAGACAGCCTCTCTTCAAGCTACATAAAGAGATATCTGGGTGGATAAAGGGTCACAGAGCCATAGATGATTAAAAGCTTAGATGATCAAAGAGACATATTTTAAAGAAACCTTGAAGAAAATTCTAAGGAAAAAGAGAGGTAAATTATAGGTAATATTTTGGGAGGAAATGCCACAGACCCAGACCTTGGTAGAAGAAGGGATAGTCACAATAGAGGAGCACTTAAAACAGGGGATGTCCTGGATGACAGAATTGGAGGAACACAGATATATTAAGGATTGTGTTTCTGGAGGAGATGACAGAGGAAGCGAGGGATAAGATCACAGAGGGTGGTGAAAAACAAAAATGGTAATTTTAAAATTAATGCTTTGCTGCACTGGAGAACAGTGCATTTAGCGAATGCAGTGCGATGAATGAATGCAGGTTGCCTTGAGGTGGAATGGGATCAGCAGAGTTTTGGATGGTCTCAAATTTATGGAGAGTGCCCATGGGATGCCAGCCAGGAATACTTGTAATAGCCAAGTCAAAAGGCAATGGAGTCAATTGGAGCTTTCAGGACTAAGATCACTAAACTTTTATTAGGTAAAGATATCGATGACTGTGAAGCAAACATTCACAAGTAAGTACAGATCAGATATGATCTTACTGAGAGCTGACAGCACAATTCAACCCTGCCTCCTGGACAGGCACAAGCTCCTGGCATCATCTGAGCTTGAAGGAAGCTGCATCTGAACACATTTTTCCTTTTTATTTCAAGGATCATTACTTGATGGTGGGGTTTGATTGGCTTCCTCTTTACACTATTTCCACAAGATGTGGAAGCTTCAATGTGCAACAATGACAGCACTGGGTGTGGTGGTAAAGAGGAATAGCTCATCAATAACCAATGTGTGGGCTCACATAGGAGGTAGTAAAGGGTTGTTAGGTAAACAATAGGCATGAGAGAAGTGCCCAGATTTGACAGATGGTCTGGGAATATTGAGAAACATTTAATTTGTAGTTTATCTGGTGTTCAGTATGCACCTCATTAAATTGCTTCAGACCAGCTGGCTGGATGATTTTAAGAATGAATCCATCAGCAATCCAAAAGCATATTCAAACTACAGAAAGACAAATAGCATGGGAAGGTAACTGTGAGGCTCCTCAGAGGATACGTTAGGACCTTGGCATTGACTAATTGTCAACAAGTTTTCACCCTTCTTACCTTATCCGGTATCAGCCTGACGGTGCTCAGCAGAGAGTGTTTCTTGTGGTACAGCGACAGCTTTATGTGTTGCAATGTAATCTCACTTGGCACTGACTGCTCCAACACTTGAACAGCTTCGATGCTTATTTGATGACATTTCATAGTCCTTCTTGACACATTCATCAATTCTCAACATTCTGTTGAGCTGATTAAATTCACTCAACAGGGCAGGAATTCCAACCAGTGCTGGAGAATGAGTAAGACATTGACATCACCTTTCATTTGACACTGACAGCAATTTCTACCCCACCAATACTGACACCCTTTACTGTCCCTAACAGTAATTGTCCCCAAAACTGACAGCACCCTTCAAAGACAATTTATCCCCTTTCCTGCTTTACTTCAATTGCTGACTTTTACTGAAGCACGAATCCATTGAGACTGGTAGCCATCAAGATTTCACACTTTTTAAGTACAAAAATATACTTCATTCATAAAAAAATACATGTACACAGGTCCTAAAACAATTCCGTAACATCCTTGCAGAGAAAGAAAACAAATGATATATTGGATTTGAACTTCCTCAGAGCTTTGCTACAGTTGCAAAGCAAAGGAATTTTCTATTTCTGCAGGGAACTATTCATGTTAAATTCGAGGCAACAAGAGGGTCTGACAACTGAGCAGACCCTTGATATACTTTGGCAGAAAGACCAAAGATGGTGGCCTTTCCCCAATGTGTCTTGGCAGTAGCAGTCCTATACTTAGTGCATCCCTCAGCATGTAATCCTGAACCTTGGAATGTGCCAATTTGCAACGTTCAATCAAGGTCAAATCTTTACACCGGAAGAGCAACACGTTTTGGGCAGACCAAAGCGTGTCTTTCACTGAGTTGATGGTCCTCCAGTTTCAGTCACATCTGAGCTTAGGCAAATTAAGTTAAGGTCACACAACTGAGCTTGGTCTTGCTCAAATCTATTGTTCACAAATTATGTAGACACATGCATATAAACAACCCATGTGCAAAAATGCACATACACACAGAAACAAACCTTTCATCCTCACAAAGGTTCCACTAAAATGGCAACATGTCACATCTTTTATAAACACTGCCAGAATTAGTAAACACTTCCATTTAATATGAGCTGCCCAACAACAAAGGCATCATCTCATCTCAAACAACAGTTCCAAGCTCAATTAAGTAATTCTGGATCCATTTGCAAAATTGGATGCGCTTTGCATTGTCTGAAATTCGTTTTAGACAGTGTAAAAGATTTCAAAATTAATGCCAAAACATTTCCATTCATTACTTAACTTGGAAATAGAGATTTCACCAGTGTAGTATCTGTAGGATGGAATTTTCTTCAGTCACATGAGATCAAAAGATCTGTCCTCACACAGTCTCAAACCAGTGTAACACTGAGCTGCATCAGCAGTCACTGCTGTTGCAGGAAGTTCATTGCAGGATCACTGTACTATACTACATGTACCTGTCTGGTCTCTAAGTTCTGAAATTCTCTACTTAAATCTCACCAGCTCTCTATGTCTGTCTCTTCCTTTAGCTGTTCCTCAAAAATGACTTATTTCAGTGATCTTTTGCTCACTTGTCATTGTACCTCCTCACATGCCTTGATGACAAATGTTGTTCAATGATAACTGTGAAATTCTTTACAAGGTTTGTTGCATTAAAACTCTTCCAGCGATGCAATTTCTTGTTATTGTGAGCAGTCACATGCAGGATTATACCACTAACCCTGAAATTCCATCCATCAATGTGGCAGGAACAATCGGGCTGAGTGAATTCACTCCACTCTCCTAGGTCTTGAAATGTTCTGACCACTTTTGTCATCTGCACCTCTTTGTGTGACATAAGTTTCTAGAGCACATGTTTGAATTCCATCTATCACTTATACAGTGTTAAATCACACATACAAGTTCTTTCCATTCTTCAGCCTTTCTCAAACTGTTCCACTCATCTTTATATGGCTATCATTTTCACTGCCCTCAAAGTCCTACTGGGACAAAAAAGGAAATATTTGCCTGTATATTCTCTTGCTTCTGGATAAATGCCCAGAGTTATGTTAGGTTTTCTCCTGTGCTACAGTGGCCAGAAGATAGCTATTAATGCAGCTTCAAGTGGATCGATTGATATTATCATGCACCACTGAGGGAAGCTCAAGTTACTGCTTTGACTCTGTGTATGAACTTTCTCTTCAGCTATTAAATGAAGGTTTCACAGTCATTGGGCTGCGAAGTCATAAGTTTGGAATATTAGAAAATTCTGAGACTGCTATCTTGCCACAATTGCAGTTTTGGGTAGATTGCTGATACGTTTTGTGGTTTTTTTTGACAAAATTACCAGCACGCAAGAGAACAGGTGTGGCATGGTAATAGGTGAAACATAATGACTGGTGAGACACAGAAACAGGTATGGTACAGAAATAAATGAGATGCAAAAATAGATGCGGTACAGTCATAGGATTGATATAGAAATGGGTGAGACACAGCAGTCAGTATGGCACAGGACTAAATGAGACAAAGCATTAGGTAAAATACCACAATAGGTGATACTCTAATGGATGATTCACAGGAATAGATGAGATACGGCACTAAGTCAGACACAACAATAGGTCAGATACAGTATCTGGTATGCCACAGGAATAAGTGAGAGACAGCAATTGGTGAAACACAACAATGAGTGAGTCACAACAGTAAGTGAAACACAGTGACAGGAGAGTTACAGCAGTTAAAAAAAAGGTTTTAAAACACAGAAGGGTTGTGTTTGAGCTTGAAATTAAGCACGTGTTAATCCCAAAAGACCATGTCATTCAGGAAAAACAGAAGAACAAAAAGAATATTTCTATTACTATCACTAAATGTGGACTATTACATGTAATCCGTGAGGAAATCTATGTTTATTTCATTTTGCACCCTGATGGAAAGGTCCATTAAGTTTAAAGGTTTTATGTGGTTATCTTTCTACCATCCTCAAAGATGGAATAGTCATTGCCACTGATACTATTTGTCCTTAGTGTCCAGTTTGAGAATGGCTTCTATAAGAGTGAACCACCACATGCTGCCAATTTCAAACCAGCAAGTGGCAATCTAAGTTGAAGTGACTTAAATTCATTTCACGTGCAATATCACAGCTGACAGGCTCTAGAATAGTTTCAAACCCAGCTAAAGGAAAAGTAGCTAACTGTTCCATCAAATCTCGGCATTTATGCTAACTTTGCCACTTGATAGCATTACATTAGGTATCATTTTTGGATAAGGCAACAAGAGCAAACATTAGTAAAGGCTATAGAAGTGCCGATTAGCTACTATCTAATTGAATGTGAAGCAGGTTCATTAGTGAAACCCTTTTTGAAAATTCCATTGCCTGCTGTATCTCAGTTGTATCTGTCCCTTATATTCCCAGTTTTACTATATTACTGTCAGTGCCCCATGCCAAGACTGGGATAGGAACTCAAAAAGCTGAGAGTCCCACTTTGATTAAAATCATGTGAGGACGTGTGTTAATTTGGATACTGAGTGAGCATAGGACAGAAATCGAAATTTATGCGTCACTGCCGAATAGCCCATCAATGGCTCACAAGAAAGAATAAGGACATGAAATAGTTGATACCAACTGGCACCTGTCATGTTGCTTTCAGTTTCACTCATGAACCTTGCAGTGAGGAGCAGGAAAGGTAGACATTTTCTCCTTAAATCACCTTCTGTTTAACAATCTGCTTCTTCTCCATGATTCAGGTACATGGCAATCATTCATCCGCTGAAACCAAGACTGTCAGCAACAGCCACAAAGGTTGTGATTGGAGCTATTTGGGTGGTGGCATTGTCGCTGGCCTTTCCACAGTGCTATTACTCCACAACAGAGCAGTTTCCAGGCAGAGTGGTATGTTACGTGGAGTGGCCTGAGAATGCAGAGAACAGCACAAGTCATGAAACTACGTAAGTTCTTTTTTCATAATGTGTGGTTCAGGCCTTATAAGTTATAGCATCCGTCATATCCTGGCCCAAGAAAAGAGCATTGCCACATGAGTTATTAGAGGTGTGAGTGAGCCTCTGCTGTGTCCTACTTGATGTTTTCAGGCTACCTCACCATTAAGTGTTCTTTTTAGGAACAACTGCAGAGTAATTAAAGTAAAGCAATGGGTTCAAATATACGACCATATACAGATTGCAATTAAGGCAGATACTCATTAACAGTTGATCTATTCTTTGTAGCATTGGCCCAGATGCAAACAGACTTCCCTGCACATCTTCAAAAATTACTTTTGGATAATTGTACTTAACTGAGCTGCACTAAATTTCATTTAAAAGAGAGCACCTCCAATGCAGCAGCAGTCCTTCAGCACTGCACCAGAGTCTCAGTCAAGTTTATGAGTTCAAATTCCTGAAATGGGAGTTGAACACATGCCTTCTGAATCAATGAAGAGATGTTGAACCAAACTATTGTTTGGGCCTTTGCAAAACTGTTCTCAAGTTTGCAAAGGAGCATTTTTTCCTCTCTTGCTTTTGCATCAGTACATTAATTGTAATAATGAGGTGAAGGATAACAGACAATGACATGGCTTGACTCGGTACCTTGACACTTGGTGCTAGTTGGCGAGGTGACAGACATTTGAAAGGTTATATTCTGTGAATAAATCTAGTACTGAGTATAATATTGGCATCTAGTGTCCTATGTAATTATCTTGTTGTCAAAAATGTAATATTTTGTTCATATTTCACAATCAGAAGTAAGCTGACGGTGAATATTTGTGTTTGTCTCTGCAGTAATAATGCAATGAATGGGATCTACCACTTAGTATGCATCCTGACATGGCTTCACAACTTTTGGGATTTACTGTGTTGTGATTGCATTATTTACAATTGGCTAGCCAAATAATTAAGTGGTTAAAAAAAAGACATCTTAAAATATAAATAAGGGATATGTCACACACACATATGGCTCCATCTTTAACCTCAGAAGATTGATAATCATTTTGTAATCAACAAAGTACTTTATGAAGAGTAGAAACTATAATAATACATGAAATGTAGTCGTCAACTGCTGCCAACAAGTTCCTACAAACAGCAAGGTGATATGTTTTCCCCATCTTAATTAAGGAATAAATATTTGCTAGGACACTAACAGATATCTTTCCTGTTCTTCTTTGAAACAATGCTGTGGGATTTTTATGTCCATCCTAATAAAGCAGCAATGGCTTCAGTTTAACATGTCATTCAAAATAGGCACCTCTGCCAGTTCAGCATTCCTTCTGTCATGCACTGGATTTTCAGCTGAGATTTTGTGTTCAAGTCTGAACTGAGACTTGAGCCCATAACATTCTGAGCCAGAATTGAGAGTGAAGCACTGAGCTTGAGATTGCACATGTGACATAGACACCTCAGTTTGGCTGGAGCTGATATCCAAATGAGATCAAAGCAACAACTGGACTTTCATCCAGATGCCTCAGCCTGTTTTGAAGCATGAACTTACTCAGTTCATTCACTTACAAGAGCTGACTGACAAGTAACATTTCTTTTTGAGGGTAAGGTGTTCTGACAGTCAGAGTTTATTTATGTGTGATTGGAACACATGTGTATGCTCATCTCCAGTGCTTGATAGCTATAGCGGAAGAGTATTAGGGAATGCAGATTGGAACCTCTGTAAGTGAACTCAGCTCGATCACTGATATAACAAGATGTAGACCTGGATGAACACAGCAGGCCAAGCAGCATCAGAGGAGCAGGAAGGCTGACGTTTTGGGCCGAGACCCTTCTTCAGAATTTCTGAATAGTTTTAAAAAAAGAAGCATTTTATCTAATGCAGAACTCTGAG